AGTTTCGATTTTCGCACCGACCCCGATTTTGAAAAAAATCGTGATGATTTGGAAGGTCATATCATATCCGCGGGGAGTTATGTCGTTTTGGAACGTCATATCTCCCGCGCGGAGCTATGTCGTTTTGGAACGTCATATCGTCGCGCGGAGCTATTACCCGAGATATTAAAAAAAATCTTCGAAAAAGTTTGGATTTTCGCACCGACCTCGATTTTGAAAAAAATGTGATGTAACCCCTTTCCATTTTGTCGATTTGGGTCAAAGTTTTGAATTAAGCACTTATGATAAAAAAGGAACTTAAATAACATTACATAAAAAAGTCGCAATAACCATGCTGTTACAATGCGAAGCAGACGCTCATGAATGTGTGTTTGTCAATATAAACAGAAATTCTTAAAGATGCTAAAATGAAAGATACTTGACAAATATCTAATATTTTAGAAGCAACATATCATGTTACGTGGCTCTAGCTCTTATTATTTACCAAAATGTTCAAGTCTCTAGCTCTTATATGTTGTGAGATCCTTTCGTTCATACATACGGACGGACGGACAGACAGACCGACGGAAATGGCTTGATCGACTCGGCTATTGATGCTGATCAAGAATATACTTATATACTTTATGGGGTCGGAGATGCTTCCTTCTGCCTGTAACATACATTTGCACAAATACAATATACCCTTATACCCATTTTTAATGGGTTCAGGGTATAAAAATTGCACATTTAACGCTGCACTAAAAAATGACGAGTCGATTTTCAACATCAGCAAACAAACTGGACATTCACATTTGCAGAACCAACAAAATGACAAATGAAAAGCTTGCTGATGCCTATTGCCTGCTGACTCCTCCAGGGCTTAGCCGTCGTCCTTAGTCCGGTCGTGCACTACGTTTCTCTTCGTAATGGCCTGAGCCTGGTCACAAAGGCCGTGCAAACATGGCACACACACACACACACACACATCCATATCCAAACGAGCACCAAATGGGCGGGCAGACTCTGATTATGCTAACTTTCAATGCAAAGCTGTTGCAGGATAGACTGCGACAGGACATGAAGGTTGAGTGGCGGCTATGTGAGCAGGGTAAAGGGGAAAGCACTGAGTAAATTGCAAACACAAATGCAAAACCTGAAAAAAAAAACAACAGTTGCTCACTCGAGAGTGCACGACTAGAGATACCTTGTAGCCAGTTTTGAGCTGATGTTAGAAATAAGACAGCTTGCCGCGCACTTTATCCTGTGGCTGTGCTGCTTGATGTTATTTGGATGAGAGTACAGAAAAAGTATGCAAATGCGTGTTTTACAATTTTGGGACTACGAATGGACGAACATGTTGATGCTGATCAATAACTGCACTTTATAAGGCCGAAGATCTCTTCCTCTGTCTATTTATTATATATGTCCCGAAATTTTAAGTGTGGCTTTTCAGATGACTTTTCAATCTTTAAACGCGATTATAGCCCCTTTAAACATTTTGAATAGGTTAAGACTCAACTCCAGACTGGCCGACTTGGAGGATAACCTGCTCTCCAAATATGCATTAAAATTAATTAACATACAAACATTTTTATATACATATTGCGCTTGTGCTCTTCCTCTTTCATCCGCCAATTATGATAAATGAATTTCTAAATAACTCCTTGTGCATTGTCCGAATAATATACAATATTTAGCGACTTTTTATTATTCCTTGAGCAATGAGGTTTATTTTTAGCTTGAAGTTAAAGCGCATGCATAACTCTGTGCTTCATGAACTTGGAAATATGGTAACCAAAACCAAAATATAAACACTTTATTCGAGTGTGCTCGACTACAACATCCCCTGCACATAATACGCTTTGAATGCGTTAATTTATAAAATATAGCACAATGTATAGTCCAGAAGCATTCCTGTACTCGCATATTTGTATCTTGCGTATATGTACCTGTATTTAAGCATTTGCAGAGACATGTTTTGTTGAATAGCTCAGGTTCAGTTTAGTTCAATTATTGTAATGTGCCGAGTATTAGGGACAATTTGACTGGTCCCGTTTATTTGCGCATGTAGTTCAGCCACGTTTAAATTATAAAGCAACAGAATGGCGGCTGCGAGTCTGTCGTCATTGTCGTCATCGTGGTTGACAGACGGTCTGTTTATTTCTTGGCCTTTCCGTCTCCCCGAAGAGTTGTGCTTTTGGATGTACAAGTTGCTCAACTGCAGTGGAGCTGCGCTTTGACAGTGCAGGCAGCGAGGATTCGACGCCGTGGACGATGTAGAGGCAAACTCCAAGAGCAAACAAAATCAAGAATGTCGCGTCGTGCTGTGCGATATCATCAAAATGAATATAAGATTATATTTGCCAAGTCGGGGCGACGGAGCAGTAGACATCTGGAGACCCCACGTTTGCAGCCGGCTGATGGCGGAGGACGCCATTGCCATTATCCGACGGCAGAGTCGAGGTGAAAGATGTGCAAACAAAGACACTGATAAAACGAAATGCCAAACGGCAATTGAAATGCATAACAAAGCCATGCACACTGCAGGATCGGAGATGGGGTAGAGTTGGGTAGCTGGGGAGCTGGAGACGGAGACGGAGACAGAGACAGAGACTGAGCCCAGAACCTGGGAATGGGCTCGTTGGACAAGTGAAAGAGGCGACGTCAACTCTTTCGAGTGGGCGACCAGAGGCGCTGCCATTTCGGTGTCTGGCTGCGCTTCTTGCAGATGCTTGCCGAATCCGCCGGGGGCGAAGGGAGCTCAAATCAAGTGTGAACAGAATACGGCCAAGTTTTGGCTGCCACTTTGCGTGGCCGCTTGAGAGAGGTGCGTCGGCTCTTAGGGGCGCGGCGGGCGGCGGGTGACGGGTACTTTACCTAAGGCAACACTCACCCATAAGAAGACAGCCTCTACTACTATCTCTTTCTCCCTCGCGCTCTCTCTCTTTCCATCTCGCTCTCACTCACTCACTTCGTGCAGAGAAATATTTTAGGGGCGGGCTCTGCGCTCGCTCTCTGTAAATTATTCCAATTCGACATTTTGTGTGAAATTCATAAAGCGGTTGACGTCGCTGCCGCTGCTGGCTTCGACGTTAACAGCAACAGTAACGTGAATGCTGTTGCCCCATCCAATCTGAACGTCATCATGATGTTGCCGTAGTCCTTTTGCCTGCTATGTCCTGGCCAGCCGCAGCCCTCGCATGCCATCTCTTTCGCAATCGCACAGACCAAAGACAGTGCCCGGAACGCGTTTAAGGGTGGTTTTCCGCACCCCTCGTGCTCAGGAGTTTGCTCAGTTAACAGGCCCAGTCAGAGTCACAGTCACAGTCACAGCAGAGTCCCCTCGTCGAGTCGGCAGAGTCCTTTTCATAATTCTTAAGGCCACACTGCCTCGTGTTTGCTTTCATTCCGCTTCGGTCGCTGAGTCTGTGCGGAACGTTTATCAACGCGTTAGTGCCAAAAAAAAAAAAAAAAATAACAAAAATAGAACAACACAATTCAATAAGGAATAAACTTAAAAACTCTCGGAAAGAACGAAGTTTTAACCAGTCGACAAGTGCACAGGGCTGAAAAATAAATAAACAAAACGAGAATATATTATACAAAAATTGATTGATACATTTGTGCTGGTGAATCGTGAATAAATATATCATATTATATTCAGAGCAGGGCACACAAATTGGATACGATTGGGCAGCGCCTAAATATGGTTTACTTTGTACGTACCTCAGCCTTGTTTATTGAAAATAAAATAGTTAAAAGTTGCGATGTGTCGCAATTGTTTATGCATGGAATGCATTATTTAACAAAATGAATTCTTGGAAAATATTTGCAATTGTAGCTGGAAGATAAATGAAATAGGAAAATATTATTCGCATAATCGTCTATTACGTGTAGATTAGTTGGATTTTAAATAATCAATTATAGTAAATGTTGGTCAACCTATTCGGTGGTCACCCGTATGTGGGAAGGGTCTGTGCTTGAGTTTGAAGGGGCCACTGGAAAACTTATATTAGTCCGCATAAGTTTAGTAAAGCAAGTGTCAAGATCCAATTGAGCAAGGGCGAGGGTTAAAACTAGGCCGCCCCCATAGGGCAAGTCTTAATGGAATTAATGGCACTTGAAGCCGGGCAATCCACAACACTATTATTCCCAGCTCCAGCTCCATATGCGAGCTACTTACTGAAGCGTCAAATAAAGTTAATTAAAAACGGCAGTCGCATGCATCGACGCCTGGCAAGGAACGGGCACGGGAACCCGCAAGGCTGAGGCCCGGGCTGAGCCGAAACCCAAAACGGATGTCGCGCATTATGCACACTCGAGAGAGCAGGCGTGGAGATGGCGACCGAGTGTAGCTTGGAGATGGTAGACCTTACACTTGCATCCAAGTGTAAACAATTTAATGAGGAGCAAATAAAAGCAGTGCAAGACCCGCGCCAAAAATATGCTGAGAACGCGACTCTCAAAGCATGTGTGTGCGAGTTTGTGTTATGATTGATTTAGCCGAAGCGATTTATGGCAATATGCTGTCAAAGAGGTGATCTGGTTCCTGGCGACTTGGTGACTTGTTGGCCATTGTTCTGGGCTAGTCGAGCGTGGTTAAAGCACGGGTTAAGAATCAAGCAAGCCCACAATCAATAAGCGGACCTATTAAAATTCTATAGGGTATTTTGCATAATTTTTACATGGCTGCGGTTTTGTTTTAATTGCAACCCGCTGACTGGGCAGCCACAAAGAGTGTGTCCTCCCGTTGAGCTTTGGAGGAACGGGCAAGGGCACGGGCACGGGCACGGGAACGGTTGGGAATAAAATTGGGATTGGTAGTGAGAATGGGGTTAGAGGCATGTAACGCCCCTGCGACGATGCTGCGTTTGTTTGTATTGCTTTAGATTTGCCCTTTCACTTGACTGAGCAGCTTGTAAGGCGGCTGCCAACAATGGGGCGTATGCTCGATATTAATTGATGACCCGTTGCTTATTTGCATACACGACTAACTAAATGCCTTTGTTTCTTCTCTGCAGAGTCCGCGTGGCATGCAACCGTGTAGTCCATCGGGTGTTGTCGCTATGATGCCGCCATCGAAAAGTCCCATCATGGAAACTGCCGCCAGTGATGGCAACCAAGCTAGCAGCGATGCCAAGCGCTCGTGTCCACTCAAGTTCTCCATTGCCAAGATCATGGAGCCAGACAACAAGCAGGCAGCGCCGCCCTCTCTTTCCTCGCTGCAACAACAACAACAACAACAACAACAAGATCAGCTAAATCAGCAACAGTCTGAGGAACATGCTCTGCATGAGGAAGAACCACGTAATCCGGATACGTACGCGGATTCGGAGCGCTCATGCAGCCCCATTGAGGTGACAGGCGATGAGGAGCCGACAGCTATGACGGCAATCAACTACGACTCGGCCTTCAAGAAATATGTGCCCGGCTCAAGCTTGGGTTCCGCCACAGTTGCCGGCTCAGCTTCGGCCAGCGCAGTGCAGCAGTTTGTCAGCACGCGGCATCAGGAACTGCTGTCGCAGTATCCCTTGCTCTACTATGCGCCCAACCAGCTGATGTGTGCCGCCGCCGCCGCCCAATACGCGGCTCTGACTGCCCAGCAGCAGACGCTGGCCAGCGCGGCGCACATTAGTAGCTTCACAGCCTCCCTTAACGCCACGCTGCATCATTCGCAGACGCTGCGTCGCAACTTGGGTCATCCACTGGCGGCAGCTGCCGCTGCTGCTGCAGTGGCTCAGTCTCAGTCTCAACAACAGCCATTGGCACCGCAGCAGAGCCTGGAGAAGTCTCCTATCCGGGCTCCACATGTGCCCCAGCATGCCAGCCTGAAGCGCAAGCGCTCGCCCCAAGGCGATGTAACAACGCCGCCATTGACATTGCCGTTGCCGTTGCCGCCGCCAGTTGGAACATCGTCGCATTTGTCGGTTGCACGGTCGCGGTCGCCGTCGCCGCACGGCTCGATGGAGGACAGCAGCCCGGGCTCGGCCAATGGGGGCAAGCCGAAGACCTTCTCGTGCTTGGAGTGCGGCAAGGTTTTCAATGCGCACTACAACCTAACACGGCATATGCCGGTGCATACGGGCGCCCGGCCGTTTGTGTGCAAGGTGTGCGGCAAGGGTTTTCGGCAGGCGTCGACCCTGTGTCGCCACAAGATCATACACACCTCGGAGAAGCCGCACAAGTGCCAGACGTGCGGCAAGGCCTTTAATCGCAGCTCCACGCTGAACACACACGCTCGCATCCATGCCGGCTATAAGCCGTTTGTGTGCGAGTACTGCGGCAAGGGATTCCACCAGAAGGGCAACTACAAGAACCACAAGCTGACCCACAGCGGCGAGAAGGCGTACAAGTGCAACATCTGCAACAAGGCGTTCCACCAGATCTACAATCTCACCTTCCACATGCACACACACAACGACAAAAAACCGTACACGTGCCGGGTCTGCGCCAAAGGATTTTGCCGCAACTTCGACCTGAAGAAGCACATGCGCAAGCTGCATGAGCTCGGCGGAGATGGTCTCGACGATGATCTGCCGCCGGCCTATGAGCGCCGCCGTGAGTACACCAGACGCGAGCCGCTCTCCAACTACAGCCAGGCCAGCCAGTTGACGCCGGACTCCTCCTCCGGCAGCCTGTCGCCGCCCATCAATGTTACCACCCCGCCACTGTCCAGCGGTGAGGCCAGCAACTCGGCCTGGACGCGAACAGCCTACCAAGAGTCGTCGGCGGCCAACGCGGCCAGCAGCCACTTTCATCATCATCTGCAGGCGCCGCCTGGCGGCTTGCACGGCGATTACCCAGGCAGCTCCCCGTTCCTGCAGCTGGCTCATCCCGCGCAACAGCAGCAGCACCAGCAACAACGCCTCACAGCTGCTGCCCTCGAGAATGTGCCCTTCATAGCCAAGGTATTTTGACAGAGATACTATGCGGAAAACCTTGCCAGTTGCACGGCAACGGTAACGGCATCGTCATCAGCATCAGCATCAGCGCCGGCAGCGGCGGCGGCGGCGGTGGTCACGAGTTCTTTGTCCAAAACAATGCCAACGGCAACCAAGTCCGGCACAAGCTTGAGCAGCGATCTGCTGATCGATTGACTGCAGCTCGTGTCGGCAGCGGCAGGTGCCACAGTCCCACAGGAAGGTGCCACGTGTGGCCAGGGGGAAGCACGTGATGCCGCCTCGCCGGAGCTCAGCTGCACGACTCTGGGCAATGCTGTGCGTGCGCTAAATGGTCTCTTCTGAATGCGTCCCCGGAATTTGTCTGCCCCACCAAATGGTTTCAACACAACCTGTGCAATATTCAATATACAATCCCTCACTCAAAAATGAAAAAGAATGTCGAGCTATCTATGCAGCACATAGGCTAGGAAAATAGTATGTGTGATTTTAAGAGCAAATTAATGTCGATTTTATTTATACAATTGAAAATAAGTAACTTAATTGTTTGTTGACAAGATGCACTCTCAAGTCATACGCGTATCTTGCCTCAATCTAATTAATAAGTGTGTATTAAAGTTAGTTAGTACGAAATGCAGCCCGGACCGATTCCCGATTCCCCGGGCGTCGTTCATATAGGAAATTAAATCTGCATGTCGAATTGTAAATGTATCATTAAGTTCAAGGATTCAAAAATAAAAATATAAACAACAACTAAACATACAAATATCAGCATCATACTAAGTATATGTATATTTATGTATTTATGGATTGGTTGAAATGGAATCAAATTTTATCGAGATCATTGAAATTGTTTAGAACTTAAGTGAAATTATTGATCATGTTTAAGCAATAAATCAATTCTTCAATATAACTAACCAGTTTTCTACTTTACTTTACCCCAATCTTGGAACTTATATTTTACTTAATTGGAAAATGTATATCCAATCACATAAGCCATATATGTTCCTCATCATCATCCCACAGTCGTCATTCCATCCGCCTGGTCTGTCTTTGTCAATTAAAACTATTCTCTCAATTTTCAAGCTAGAATGTATATAGGTTCTCACTGGAATCGAACTCTTTAATAAAACCATATACTTCTAATATTCACACAAAATATTATCAACAACGGAATTATATACAGATTGTCTTGGACAATCTTGGACGTCGTATGAAAAAAAGAAAAAAAATTGAATAAATCAGATATCCAATCGTTAAGACATTCGGATTCGAACTGTTATATGGCTGTAAGATTCCCTGAAGACGGTTGCCAACAAATTTCTAAGTAAATTGTTTAAATATATCAAGCACGACTTAAGGTGCATTTTGTTTTCATTTAATAAACGTTTCAAATGTTGTATGTTTTCATAAGTTCAATTCAAAATCGAAGCCACTTCTATGGTGAATAACTTAGCGATATCAGCTTTGAATAAACAGACGATTTAGATTGGAATTCGGTTGTGGGGAACCTAGGGAGCCGCTAGCAGAGCCTGTTCTTATCCTTTAGACTTGTTCAAGGATACCAAAGAAAAAAAAAGAACTTAGACTCAGATGATATGCTCAACGCATCTGCAATTTAAATATGCAAATGGAATGTGGCGCTTTTTAATGAAAACAATTATTGCCGCATTTGCGTAAGAGGCGTCTTAATGGGCTCAGTCGAATCGGGGCTAAAACAACCCACGTGGAATTTTCGCAATTTAATTAGTGGTGAGCTGGTTGGCCACTCTTACGGTGCTCCGTCCCAGCATACGCCATGCCCATTTGCATTTCACTTTGATCTCAAAAAAAAAAAACAATGGTAAAATTATTACGAAGATGGCGTCTCTGCGACTCCGCGTTTTACTGCGATTCAAACTCTCGAGGTTGCTCATAAAAATGCAACACAGAGTCTACGTGGTTCCCTATCAACAGTTGTTCTACTTCTCACCTAAGGTGTAGAAAGCGCCAACGACATCGTATTGGGCCCCCAGAGGCGAGAATCTAATCTGGAGTATATGAGACATAATGATAAACAGGATATAGCATTTCATACTTTTGCATTAGTGGTGGTTCCATGTCGAGAAGCTTTGCACATATGTTATTATATAGGGTTATTCTTAATGTTACGAATATAAAAGTAAGGGTATTCATACAAGAACTTGATTAATGGCCGATCATTCGACCCCGACTTTGAAAAAAATCGTGATGATTTGAAAGCTCATATCATATCCGCGGGGAGTTATGTCGTTTTGGAACGTCATATCTCCCGCGCGGAGTTATGTCGTTTTGGAACGTCATATCTCCCGCGCGAAGTTATGTCGTTTTGGAACGTCATATTTCCCGCGCGGAGGTATGTCGTTTTGGAACGTCATAATGTATAACATTTTAAAATCAGACATTAATTACCCGAGATATTAAAAAAAAATCATATCCCCGCGGGGAGTTATGTCGTTTTGGAACGTCACATCTCCCGCGCGGAGTTATGTCGTTTTGGAACGTCATATCTCCGCGCGAAGCTATTACCCGAGATATTAAAACAAATTCATCGAAAAAGTTTCGATTTTCGCATCGACATCGATTTTGAAAAAAAAAACGTGATGTAACCCCTTTCCATTTTGTCGATTTGGGTCAAAATTTTGGATTCCCTTTTTTTGATGACTTGGCCCTTGATACTGATCTACCCCCTTTCTTTGTGAACTTGGAGAGCTCTCTTTCTAAGCGTTACAAACTTCGTAATGTGAAATAAGTTATTTAAGTGCTGAAGAACTAACTTTTTTTTGATGCCAATCGATAGAACTGATCCTTACGAGTCAAAAATGGTATAAAATTCCAAATCGGACATTATCTGACGGAAATATTCAATAAAATCATCAAAGAGGTTGAATTTACGAACGAATCGGTGTTATGTCAACAACATTTTTCAACCCATCGATGATTAAATTGTTTGAATGCCAATTGATGGTAGGGATCCGTACGCATTCAAAAAGGTATAACATTTTGAAATCAGACATTATTTACCCGAGATATTAATAAAAAATCATTGTAAAAGTTTCGATTTTCGCACCGACCCCGATTTTGAAAAAAATTGTGATGATTTGGAAGGTCATATCATATCCGCGGGGAGTTATGTCGTTTTGGAACGTCATATCTCCCGCGCGGAGTAATGTCGTTTTGGAACGTCATATCTCCCGCGCGGAGTTATGTCGTTTTGGAACGTCATATCTCCCGCGCGGAGCTATGTCGCTTTGGAACGTCATATCTCCGCGCGGAGTTATGTCGTTTTGGAACGTCATATCTCCGCGCGGAGTTATGTCGTTTTGGAACGTCATATCTCCGCGCGGAGTTATGTCGTTTTGGAACGTCATATCTCCCGCGCGGAGCTATGTCGTTTTGGAACGTCATATCTCCGCGCGGAGTTATGTCGTTTTGGAACGTTATATCTCCCGCGCGGAGTTATTACGTTTTGGAACGTCATATCTCCCGCGCGGAGCTATGTCGTTTTGGAATGTCATATCTCCGCGCGGAGTTATGTCGTTTTGGAACGTCATATCTCCGCGCGGAGTTATGTCGTTTTGGAACGTCATATCTCCCGCGCGGAGCTATGTCGTTTTGGAACGTCATATCTCCGCGCGGAGTTATGTCGTTTTGGAACGTTATATCTCCCGCGCGGAGTTATTACGTTTTGGAACGTCATATCTCCCGCGCGGAGCTATGTCGTTTTGGAACGTCATATCTCCCGCGCGGAGCTATGTCGTTTTGGAACGTCATATCTCCCGCGCGGAAAAATCATCGAAAAAGTTTCGATTTTCGCACCGACCTCGATTTTGAAAAAAAAGTGATGTAATCCCTTGCCATTTTGTCGATTTTGGTCAAAATTTTCGATTTCCTTTTTTTCTTGATGCCAATCTATCGATCAGTTCTATCACTGATCCTTACGAGTCAAAAATGTTATGAAACTGCAAAATCGGACATTATTTGACGGAAATATTCCAAAAAAGCATCAAAGAGATGGAATTTACCAACGAATCAGTTTTTTGTCAACAACATTTTTTAACCCATCAATGATTAATTTGTTTGGTAGGGATCCGTACGCATTCAAAAAGGTATAACATTTAAAAATCAGACATTATTTACCCGAGATATTAAAAAAATCATCGACAAAGTTTCGATTTTCGCACCGACCTCGATTTTGAAAAAAAACTTGATGATTTGGAAAGTCATATCTCCGCGGGGAGTTATGTCGTTTTGGAACGTCATATCTCCTTCTAGTAGAGTTTTCCGGAATCCCATCTTAAGCAGTTGGCACATCCCATAAGGTAACTATGGTAAAAATGTCAGCTACCTGGCTGATCACCAATCAATACAACCATAGTTAGGGGCTTAGGAAAATGTGCAGCTTATGTGACAAATCGAAATCAATTAGAATTGCTTCATCCCATTAATTGGTTGAAGGCTAGAAGAGATATCTGCTAAAAGCTAAAACTAAAACCAGAAATATTATTACAAAGAACAACATACGTTATTTTAATATTTGTAAGTTAATTTATTCACAATTTGATTGAGTTGGAGATGTCTCGTTTAGCACAGCCCTTCTTTACAGGGTATAAATACAGAAGTTGGTGCATGTGTTGCCACTTCAGTTGACATATCGCTCACAATTGCTGGGTCTCCCCTGCATCTGCATCTGCTGGCGGATATGAATAATTTAAGCGAAATCAAATCAAATGGGAGCGAAAAGCGGTATTAAAAAGCTTTACTTTATGCAAATGCAAATACGACTGCGAATGCTCTCTATCTGCGTGCATATGCCTAAGCACACCGCCCACTGACAGACCCATCCCATTGCCCAGTCTCCGCCTCCGCCTCCGCCTTAGTTTCCTTCTTGGTTGACAGTTTGCGCAAGGAACCAACGCACAACAACACAAACACTCACATACACACACACACACACATACATGTGTGTGTAGAGCATAAATGGCGCAAAGCTTGTGCCAAAATTCAGTTGACTTTTGACACCGCCTCGCGGCATTCTTTTGAACCCAGTTGGCTGCGAGGATGATTTGTATCAGCCTCGACGAGTCAAAGAGCAACCCCCAATTTTGACGTCGATGGTCCTTCACATTTTGTCATGTTGTCCGCGCGCTGATTTGATTCCTTTTGATGTTTGCTTTATGCACGCCCAAACGACCATTTGAGTGGCATTTCGCCACAGGTCCGTTCCATCCATTCGAGTCATCCGCTAGCCATCATACGTCCACAATCGCATTGACACAAAACCGCCTTATTTGGCTAATTGAAGTCCTTGGCTATAGAAACCATCCACCCACCCCAGCCTTGCAGATCTTACGTAGATAATTCTCTACTCTTCGATTCGCTTAAGCATGAATCCTTGACACTTCTTGGCCACAGCTCGCCAGGTCTTTAATTAAGCTAATTAAGTGATATGTGTTAGGTTAGTTGGCCAATTGCTGTAACTAACTTTTCACTCACTTTTAAAAACTGAGACATGTATAGTCTTGTGTACTCATCACGAGATTTGGACTGTCAGTCTGTCCGTCTGTTCAACTATCTATCCATACATATCCATATCACGTCTATCCCCGAGACTAATTGAGGTAAAGAGTTCAGATGAAAACATGGGCTAAAGTGTAGAACACAAACCGCTGACTCAAGAACTCAATGAACGAAAGTATAAAGTATAAATCAAATATTAATTACAATAATAAATACTCAAAGTCATGGAATGTATGGAACATTTTTGTATGTTCCTCTTTCATAATATCGATAAATATCGATTTTGAGGCAGAGCTTGAAGTTTATGCGAGCTAGAATAGCTTTCTTGTTATAGGATAGACACACCCAGAATATTAGACATGTTGTCCTGTTTTAATGGTAAAATAAATATCATGTTACCTATTAAAAATATGCATTTTTTTCCATATCTCATCGCACTTCACATTTATCGTCATCCAAAGGCTTGTTTATGTCTCCCAAATTGTTTACAGCACATAAACAATTTGACAGGCGCCATTGCTGTATTATGTATTTTGGCGCCAAATGTCTTGCATTATTGCATATTAATAACTCTTATCGGGGCCCAATCAGAGCCGGGACTGCAATGGCAGGAATTTCCTTATAAATTGTGTCAAAACAACTCGAACACGAAACAATGTGTCTCATTCGGGCGCGGTTAAGCACTTTGCCATCAAAAAATTATAATCCAATTCTATTGTTTAACGTGCAGCAATGGCGAAACAAAAAGATGAAAAATTCACAGAGCTGTTGTGTCGACTGCGCTTATCACCTACAACCCCGGGAGCAAGGAGAGGCCGGCAGAGGCCAGAGAGCACAATGGAACGAGCGAAACCCTCAAGTGTGCGGCGCATTCGGGCGTAAATTGCAGCATAATCTCTTCCGGATATGATTACGTTCTTAAGTGATCCGACAGGGACATTGTTGCGTTGCTGTCAGCTCTCATCTTGGCTAAATGCTGTGACCTATCAGCTTTGTATCTTTATCTGCGCGAGTGCAATATGTTGTGATTACAATTTTTTAAAAAGCTAAAGCTGCATTTTTCTTTGAATCACAAGGGCTGTTTTGTGTTCTGTCTTGGGCCCCAGTCGGGCATGACTTAGGACCTGTGTCTCGCGCTATGCTTATGGGCATGTATGGCATGTAAGTGTATCTCTCGCTGCGCCAACAATATGCTGGCAAAAACACTTAGCGCTGCACGGGCGTGGCTCGTTGTCAACAACATCTTGGCATTGTTTATAATTGTGCCGTTAATTGTCGAGGTGACGACCCCTCCGCTACCATGACACGACCCTCCCTCCAGAAACCCAATGTGCGGGTGTGAGTGTATCTCAATTCTTGGCAACTATTAAATGCGAGCACGTTAGCATGCAGAGGCTTTGAATAGTGTCTCAATACGAAGCTACACGGGCACCTACTACTATTAGAGAAAAAAAGTTCTGAAAAACAATTCAAATAATTAAGTTAACAAAGTTTGGTAGAGCAGGAGTCTTTTTGATTAAGATATTGAGTGGATCTCCACAGCAAAGTGAGCAACTAGATTGATGAATCCTTGAAGTACGGAATCTATTTGATAACTTAGAAACTTATCCGTCGAATCATATAACCCTATCCTGTGAGCTTTGCTCAGAATATGTAGGTACATTTCATCTGACCTTCCCATACAAGATTTTGTATGGTTATTTTCACAGATCGAACAGACATTATTAACCCGAGCCCGTCAAGTCCCTTTCCATCTACAAATGCTACAAGGGATATATATGCACTATCGAATATCTATCTTCTCTATTTCCTTAGCATACATAATAATAATATAGCATAGCGAGGCCTGTTACACCCGACTGAAACGTTGCTACTTGTTGGCAGACGTAGGAGTCAGGCATAGAAGCTCAAAAGCACGTATGTTAGGAATCTTTTCAGTTATCTACTAATTAATAAACATAATAAAGTCGCGAAACGGCATTTATCCGTGAGAGAGAGAGAGAGAGAGAGAGAGAGATGCGCACAATGGATACAGTGCCTCGCAAAGCCAAACACATAAAAGCCAGACCATATTACACGGGCCATATTATATTTAAAACATATTCATGGCCTGTCAGGCAGCACAAATGGGCAGCAAGGCGTTTTTGTGTCCTGGTGTGAAAAAGCGTGTAAGGAGTTGACATAAAGCTGACGACTGCGACCGGCGACAATGCGGACACCGATGGTATCCCGGATCGCTGCAAATCTGCATTGGAAGCTGCTGAACCGAACTAATTGAGTCGCGTTACATCAAGCTGAATGCGTTTCAATGTGTTGCCGAGCATCATCAGATCATCGCCACACATTGCCATAGCTTCTATCTTGTCAGTTGATTCTGGTCTGGGAAATGGAACAACTGCCTGTGTTTCTAGACCCTCGGCTACATAAAAATTGCTTACCAGATGCGCAAATAACAAGTAGAATACTTTAGTCGATGGTCTTGTCCAACCAAGTCTAGAGTACTAGCATAGTTTTCTTATACAAACCTTTGAATGCGTCTAAAGAACATTTGAATGCACACATTTAAGTATGCGACTTATCCTCCAGTCGAGAATGCTCAACTTGGAGACGCTCTATAGCCCAATCTAAAAAATGTATTTTTAATCATGTTGGTTCAAAATTAAACATACATTAATGTTTCGTTTATAACTTACTTGTTAGCTGTCCGAATGTGAAGTAATTAACTTATCTCGAAAATCAAAAAAGACTTATCTCTTTCTGTGTGCCGACTAGGAGATGTCCTCTGCAAGGAAATATCTCCGCTCCGTGCGTTGTTTGAAACTCGTTCTGCGTATGGTATTGGAGAATATATACATGGAGTTTTTGAGAGCGGCTCTCGTCCTTCTAATCCCCTTAGTTGCCTGAAATTAAGAACTTGCATTTTTTTATGTCAAGCGTTGGTATATATAATGTTGTTGTTAGCAACCCGACTCCAGTACGTCGTGATAATCAAACTAACCAAGTCATCTCGAATATTTGTCTGTGTATATGACAAATATATTGAAATATTATTTTGTATAATATTTATATTATTATTTTGTTATTTGCAAGTTTAAACAAGTAAGAGGGATACCCTGAACCCTCTTCTTCAAAATCTGACATTATTTGCCCGAGATATTAAAAAAAAATCATCGAAAAAGTTTTGATTTTCGCACCGACCCCGATTTTGAAAAAAAAACGTGATGATTTGGAAGGTCACATCATATCCGCGGGGAGTTATGTCGTTTTGGAACGTCATATCTCCGCGCGGAGCTATGTCGTTTTGGAACGTCATATCTCCGCGCGGAGCTATGTCGTTTTGGAACGTCATATCTCCGCGCGGAGCTATTATCCGAGATATTAAAAAAAAATCATCGAAAAAGTTTCGATTTTCGCACCGACCTCGATTTTGATAAAAAAAAAAAAAGTGATGTAACCCCTTGCCATTTTGTCGATTTGGGTCAAAAATTTGGATTTCCTTTTTTCGATGACAATCGATAGAACTGATCCTTACGAGTCAAAAATGCTATAAAATTCCAAAATCTGACATTATTTGACGGAAATATTCCAAAAAATCATCAAAAAGGTTGAATTTACGAACGAATCGGGTTTTTGTCAACAACATTTTTCAACCCATCGATGATTAATTTGTTTGAATGCCAATTGTTGTTAGGGATCAGTACGCATTCAAAAAGGTATAACATTTTAATATCAGACAGTATTTACCCGAGATATTAAAAAAAAATCATCGACAAAGTTTCGATTTTCGCACCGACCTCGATTTTGAAAAAAATAACTTGATGATTTGGAAAGTCATATCTCCGCGCGGAGTTATGTCGTTTTGGGAACGTCATATCTCCCTGCGGAGCTATCACCCGAGATATTAAAAAAAAATCATCGAAAAAGTTTCGATTTTCGCACCGACCCCGATTTTGAAAAAAATCGTGATGATTTGGAAGGTCATATCATATCCGCGGGGAGTTATGTCGTTTTGGAACGTCATATCTCCCGCGCGGAGTGATGTCGTTTTGGAACGTCATATCTCCCCGCGGAGCTATTACCCGAGATATTAAAAAAAAATCATCGAAAAAGTTTCGATTTTCGCACCGATCCCAATTTTAAAAAAAATCGTGATGATTTGGAAGGTCACATCATATCCGCGGGCAGTTATGTCGTTTTGGAACGTCATATCTCCCCGCGGAGCTATGTCGTTTTGGAATGTCATATCTCCCCGCGAAGCTACGTCGTTTTGGAACGTCATATCTCCCCGCGGAGCTACGTCGTTTTGGAACGTCATATCTCCGCGCGGAGCTACGTCGTTTTGGAACGTCATATCTCCGCGCGGAGCTATGTCGTTTTGGAACGTCATATCTCCGCGCGGAGCTATGTCGTTTTGGAACGTCATATCTCCGCGCGGAGCTATGTCGTTTTGGAACGTCATATCTCCGCGCGGAGCTATTACCCGAGATATTAAAAAAAAATCATCGAAAAAGTTTCGATTTTCGCACCGATCCCGATTTTGAAAAAAATCGTGATGATTTGGAAGGTCACATCATATCCGCGGGGAGTTATGTCGTTTTGGAACGTCATATCTCCCCGCGGAGCTATGTCGTTTTGGAATGTCATATCTCCCCGCGGAGCTACGTCGTTTTGGAACGTCATATCTCCGCGCGGAGTTATGTCGTTATGGAACGTCATATCTCCGCGCGGAGCTATGTCGTTTTGGAACGTCATATCTCCGCGCGGAGCTATTACCCGAGATATTAAAAAAAAATCTTCGAAAAAGTTTCGATTTTCGCACCGACCTCGATTTTTTTTAAAAAAGTGATGTAACCCCTTGCCATTTTGTCGATTTTGTTCAAAATTTTCGATTTCCTTTTTTTTTTGATGCCAATCGATAGAACTGATCCTTACGAGTCAAAAATGGTATGAAACTGCAAAATCGGACATTATTTGACGGAAATATTCCAAAAAAGCATCAAAGAGATGGAATTTACGAACGAATCAGTTTCTTGGCAACAACATCTTTAAACCCATCGATGATTAATTTGTTTGAATGCCAATTAATGGTAGGTATCCGTATGCATTCAAAAAGGTATAACATTTTAAAATCAGACATTATTTACCCGAGATATTAAAAAAAAATCATCGTAAAAGTTTCGACTTTCGCACCGACCCCGATTTTGAAAAAAATCGTGATGATTTGGAAGGTCATGTCATATCCGCGGGGAGTTATGTCGTTTTGGAACGTCATATCTCCCCGCGGAGCTATGTCGTTTTGGAACGTCATATCTCCCCGCGGAGCTATGTCGTTTTGGAACGTCATATTTCCCGCGCGGAGTTATGTCGTTTTGGAACGTCATATCTCCCGCGCGGAGTTATGTCGTTATGGAACGCCATATCTCCGCGCGGAGTTATGTCGTTATGGAACGTCATATCTCCGCGCGGAGTAATGTCGTTTTGGAACGTCATATCTCCCGCGCGGAGTTATGTCGTTTTGGAACATCATATCTCCCGCGCGGAGTTATGTCGTTTTGGAACGTCATATCTCCCGCGCGGAGTAATGTCGTTTTGGAACGTCATATCTCCCGCGCGGAGTTATGTCGTTTTGGAACGTCATATCTCCCGCGCGGAGTAATGTCGTTTTGGAACGTCATATCTCCCGCGCGGAGTTATGTCGTTTTGGAACGTCATATCTCCCGCGCGGAGCTATGTCGTTTTGGAACATCATATCTCCCGCGCGGAGTTATGTCGTTTTGGAACGTCATATCTCCGCGCGGAGTTATGTCGTTTTGGAACGTCATATCTCCGCGCGGAGTTATGTCGTTATGGAACGTCATATCTCCGCGCGGAGTTATGTCGTTATGGAACGTCATATCTCCGCGCGGAGCTATTACCCGAGATATTAAAAAAAATCATCGAAAAAGTTTCGATTTTCGCACCGACCTCGATTTTTTTTAAAAAAGTGATGTAACCCCTTGCCATTTTGTCGATTTTGTTCAAAATTTTCGATTTCCTTTTTTTTTTTTTGATGCCAATCAATAGAACTGATCCTTACGAGTCAAAAATGGTATGAAACTGCAAAATCGGACATTATTTGACGGAAATATTCCAAAAAAGCATCAAAGAGATGGAATTTAAGAACGAATCAGTTTCTTGTCAACAACATCTTTAAACCCATCGATGATTAATTTGTTTGAATGCCAATTAATGGTAGGTATCCGTATGCATTCAAAAAGGTATAACATTTTAAAATCAGACATTATTTACCCGAGATATTAAAAAAAAATCATCGTAAAAGTTTCGATTTTCGCACCGACCCCGATTTTAAAAAAAATCGTGATGATTTGGAAGGTCATATCATATCCGCGGGGAGTTTTGTCGTTTTGGAACGTCATATCTCCGCGCGGAGCTATTACCCGAGATATTAAAAAAAAATCTTCGAAAAAGTTAGGATTTTCGCACCGACCTCGATTTTGAAAAAAATGTGATGTAACCCCTTGCCATTTTGTCGATTTGGGTCAAAATTTTGAATTAAGCACTTATAATAAAAAAAGGAACTTAAATAGCATTACAGAAAAAAGTTGCAATAACCATGCTGTTAAAATGCAAAGCAGACGCGCATGATTGTGTGTTGGTCAATGTACACAGAAATTCTTAAAGATACTGCTCTATTTAATTGCGCATTTGCGTATAACTTTGCTAATTTTAACCGATCTTTATGAAATTTTCTACAGTATATATTATTGTATCATAGAATATTTGTGTACACTGAAAAAGTCAATTGCATTTAAATTTTGGCGTAAATTGGACAGACAGACAGACGGACATGGCTAGATCGACTCGGCTATTGATGCTGATCAAGAATATATATACTTTATGGGGTCGGAGATGCTTCCTTCTGCCTGTTACATACATTTAGATTTTGCACAAATACAATACACCCTTATACCTAGTCGGACGAGGGATATCTTGCTTGTTTACTTGACCAGCATGCCAAATATGGCGATTTCAGCTGTTTCAGTCCTTGGGATCGACTAAATTCTGACATCTTTCTGACAACTTTGCCGGCAGGAACTTATCGTGCAGGTTTTCGCTTAGCTCAATATTGACACAAATTTAATTGAGCGCCAATGGCTGTAAATGTATCAATGGCAATGGCGGACGTACTCACTTTCCCTTTGGGTCAACAATGAACTGAACAACCATGGACAGCAGCGGGCCAATACGGAGTATGGACTCCTGCACAGCCACAGTGGCTGACATGGCCTAACATATGGCATGGTGGCAGGGTCTAGGCAAAAAGTTTAAAACGAACACGTCCGACTCCACTCGAAATTTGGACATCATGCAGGGTGTCACCTGCTGTGCTGGTCAGCTCTTGGATAGCTTTAATAGTAGCTCTGTTGCGGCACACCTACTGTGTGTGACTGGCCATCTCATAATGTAATTTAAAAAGGATACGTATATATCATGGCCATTATTGCATGCAATAGCTGTTCTTTAGAGGTTCAATTATCGGTTAACGATTCCACTGTCATTTGTATTGATCGAATTTTAATTTGAACATCATGGTTCAGATTGGGAATGTTGTCGTACGCTTCGTCCATTCTAAGATCGACATACGAGCGATACATTCTATTGGCCATGAAACATTGTGAAACCATTTTTCAAAAAATTCTAGGCTTTTGTGGCCATTATGATCCAATGTAGGTTTATTAAATATGTATCGCGGATCTGAGCATCTGGCTGCCGCCGTCCTTCTCCCAATGAGGTAGTCTTCGAAGTTCTCCATTTCGATGGTGACCTTTTTTTTTCAATGTGCTATTTTTTCTGGTTCTGTAGATTTCGAGGTTGGGCCTGCAATCTTATAAACTTTAATTATTATTATTTATAAGCTTTAATATATTAAATAAATTACCTAAAACAACATTTGTACACAAAATTTTAAATAAATGCAAAGTTTGGTAACAAATTACAATTTTAGTTTCATTGTTAAATTTGACATTCTTTTGTTCTTCTTTGACAACAGGCCAGCGCAAAAGATTTGCTCAAAAGCCAGTTTTGAATATGGATTCTTATGAATATCGTGGAAACGGGAAGAGTTATCGCATTAAGAGATATTTGAAAATAATCCTTGAGTTCTTTATATGGTCAGCATCTTGATGCCAAAAAATGTAATTTCCATATAAATATTCATTCTTGTTAGTTAGTTCAAGGTCCATCGGGCCAATCTTAAAACGTTGTCTTACAAACTTGACACTTGACCCTTGATTCAGGCGGAGTTCGCAAGAAGTGTTATATGAATATCAAGTCGATTTTCACAAAGTGTTTGAAAATAAAATAAATCATAAGAAAAGTAAGTATTTATGTTAAGGAACTCTCGCACGCTCGAGGCTTGTTCAAACAGTTTTTTGTTTGTAATCGTAAATGTGGATTTTTATTTTCACGGACATCGAATTTCACAACTTAGGCATCAACTAGACCTAAGATACCCAAAATCATAATGAATATATAAATAATGTCAATGTAAATACCCAAAGCGGCAATAATATAATCATCTTCGCTAAACTCGTTCCTACGACCGCCGACCATTAATTGTATATCATACACTAGGTAAAGCGAAAATATTATTAGGCCAAGACTACAGTAGACCAATGACAGGATTCTATTTCTTATAAAGAACGCAAGTAATCCCATTAATACAAGCACTATCGACAGCACGCACAAGTAAGGGCCCCAGCCAGTAAAGTCGCATGGTGCAAATATCGCGAATAAACTAAGTGCTATACAAATGGCGAGCGTGATTCCAATAGCGTAGAGGATCTTGGAGAGATAAAATGAGTTAATACATTAGCTATTAGCTATTAGGTTCAATTCATGTGCTACTCACCAATCGTGTTGTATAATAAATGGACATACAGCTAACTCCGAGAGCCATAAACCCGGTGAATAGAAATAACAATATGTAATTAATTGGAACTTTTCGCGCGACTGAATTACAACAAATTAATATTAAACTGGTGAGCAAAGTCCCAGCTAATGCTATCCATTTTATATATGAATTTTCCATTAATAAATCATTGGCTGACTCGACGAACAGGAATATGGCTGTAATTATAGTCGTTACAGCCATTTGCAACTGCAAAAGTTTGTTAACACAGCGTAAATATTGTAAACATTTTTACACTTACGGCAACAATACTGCAGACCTTACTGATAAAGTGCCGCCGTGTATGATCGTCATCCCAATCAGTCCCATATGTAAGATCCTCACTGGGACTACGCCTCAAGAACGGCATTGTTCACTTATACCAGTAATAGCTGCTTTTGGTTATTCGATATTTCGAGTTTTTGTGTGTGCACATGTTACGCCTACTAGATTTTGAAAACAATTAAGTGTGTCTTTGTGTGATTCGCGCCTACATAAGTAGGTTACAATAAGTAAGGTTCAGCTCCACTAGGAGACACTTGGTAGCCATTACTCTGGTCACCACTCGGAACAAAGATTAGATATTCGACTAGTCAGAAGTCGAGAAGCCAGAATCTTGCCTCTTCTGAGGATAACACAGATGAGACTATAAACAATTTTAGATATGTCGCAAGCAGGCATCTTTCCAATTTCGATTCCTTATAGAAGAGCAATCAGTTTGCAATAGGAGTCGGGGTGCTGCGGCAATGGCCGCATTCTGGTCGCCAGGCAGAGTTATCCATGTGAGGACTTGATAGTCTTACTCTTAGCCCTGAAACATTGTACAATATCGGAATACATGAAAGAACTTATCTAGAAGCGAGCTAGAACATGAAATCTGTTTTATGATATTTTGTTTCTAGATATTCCAAAGTATAGAATATCAAACAATATTCGATTTGAACCTTATTTTTAAAATAAATCACATTGTTTAAGGTATCTAATTTGTTATTTAGATACTTGTATAATATACTAACAAACTTAAAAAATTAAAACTTTGATTATTTGTCGCCTTAAACATTCTCACCACAAGACTAATATGACCGGAAAGCTTTTATTCCGACTTTATGTACTTTATTTTAAGGACTTTTAGCTTTTTATCAAATATCAATGTAATATATTACTTTAGACGTAAAGTTAGTATAGTAGATTTGAAACATATGCGGCTGGAAAATTGGTGAAAAATGTATATTTAAAATTCGAAGCACAAAACTTGCCACGGGCAAGGCCGGGAAATATTCGCTAGTTTATTATATTTTATAGTCTCACAATTGAAAGTTCTGCTTCTATTCTTAGTTCATTTTAGTTTGCTTACGATGTAACGAATTAAAATATTGTTAGGTTTTGCCGCTATCCATCAAACAAAATACACTTTATATGTAGTATATGTGCACACATATAAACCAAATGTGATATTTGCGGCATGGATCGTGGCCATTTTTTAGAACTGTTAAGCCCCTAAGCAAACTTGAAAGAGAAATGTAAAACTGAATTTACACAGTGCCTGGAGTTTGGACTTTTAGTAGTTAAAAGAAGAACGATATAAATACGTAGTTAATATTTTTAAAAATTATACTTTTGTATTACTTTCGATCAAATTACAAATCTATAGTTTTAGAGTGAGTAGCATAAGTGGAGATAAATAATCATTTTAGGTTTTGTTCTAGGTTAAGTTAATTTTAATACATTTTGTTTAGTTGTAAATTATTGTAATGTAGAGTTTAATTATATTTTTATAAATTTAGTGTCAATCCTTAGGTATAGGTGCTTGCAATACAATCAAATAATGAACTTCTAATTTACAGAAAATAGTGCTTTGAAATTGAATTATGTAAATTTGACCATAATTTTTGCCATTATCCGACAATTAGAAGCACTTGATAATTGTATATATATATATATATATATATATATATATATATATACATATATATATATGTGTATATTTGTATGCTTGCTTATAAAGTAAAGAGGTGCAAAATATTGGCATACAACATTTGCCTTGTCTTGCTAACACTTTTCAATAATCCGATGGATTTTGCCTTTCGGCATGGAAGAGAAAAAAAAAACAAAAAGTAAACATACAGAATGTTCGGCGTACTTTACAAATCTGCCACGCCACGTTTTAGACGAACGTAACTAAGATAACACTTAACAAATATAAATTGCTTATTAACCTTAAAGCGCTAAGAATTCAATTCAAACTTTACAAAAGTGAATTTTCTATTAATAAAGGCCAAAGCAAAAAAAAAAGAACATAATAATAATAAAGAAAAAGATAAAGAAATGCACGCTCACAAATACGCAAATACTTAAGAGCTACAAAGCTTGACTAAAAACAAATTAATTCTTTACAATAACTATTAATGAATATCAATTAGAAATAAGTTGGATCTGATTTTAGTTTTGTTGCTGATCTCTGCCATTTGCCGGTTTAGTGATTTAGATAATTAGATTTAATAAATATTAGTTTGTTTTAGCCCATTTAGTTGTTATTTATTGGTAACCTAACAATTAGTATAAGCGCTACACACTAGGAGTTATTCTCACAGTCGTCGGGTTTGTGCTTGGTGCGTAAATTGCTTAGCAGATCGGCACAGTTATTGACCATCATAAGGTATTGGCCATTCTCTAGATTGCCTGTGGCTGATATCTGCTCACGACTGAGCCCGTCTCCGATTTCAGCTCCTCCCCCGCTATGATTGTAACTTTGGCTCGAGGGCGCTTTCTCAGTTTGCCTGAAATAGTTACAAACAGTTATAAATCAATTCTCATTTATTTATTGGTTAATGTAAGCATTACCGATTGTGAGTTATACTGCCAAGCATATTGCGAGACATAATCACAGCATTTTCCAGTTCCTTTAGTAACAACGAGTTCTTCAGATTCGCGTGCAGCTGCATTGCAGTCTGCGTAGTCGTGTAAAGCTTGTTGATCACATTGTGCACCTGCGCCTCGGCTGGGTCGTGACATATGCAATTAAACAGATTGCATTGATTAGACTTTATTTTTATACCCTGTTTCTAAATATATTTCTCAATTGCCTTCCAAACATTGCTCTTTAGAATAAACACACAGTTGGTTTTCAATTCAAGCACTGAAATTTTCTGGGTGTAGCTGGCGAAGAATATTAAACATATATTGTGTATAGAATATGGTTCGGGCATTCCCGGCTAAATCGATCTAACTTATTTGAGTTAAGGTTCACTTATTTGACACAAATATTTGTTCTTTTTCTGCTGCTTCTTATTCGCCGAAGCTGTACACTGTCAACAGAGCATTGCCCAGTTGGCTTTAACCGACTGCAACCCGTGTTGTTGTCTTTTTTTTTCAGTACTTACAATCAGCGGCCTCGTAGTCATCAAGTCCGCCGACCCTCTGCTTGGCTGTAGTGGCTGGAGTATTGCTGTTCAGTTTGCTCTTGTGATCGAATCCCAAATTTCGAGGCCTGGGCGGCACGACAGGCTTGTTGCCGGCGGCCATGTTGGGCGTTTCCTCCGAACTGGAATCATCTTGCAGCGCTGTGCCTATAAATCAAAATCAAACTGCATTATACAGTATTTCAGTCAAATGTGCAATTAACAATATTACCACTATTGAAGTTGGGCGCTTTGCGTCGATTGTTGTTGGCGTTTGCGATTTTGTTGCTGTACTGTCGAGAGGCGGCTGCAAGAAGTCAAAAGGAAATGGGTTAAAGGTGCAAATAATTTTTGGGCTAATAACCCCCTTTTCAATAAAGAGTGCTCCAGTCGATGGGACACGACTAGCACCCAAAATTTCTGGAATATGAAATAGGCATTCTTGAATAACTACTCTGTTGCTATCCCAATCTTAATGAAAAGTTCAACCCTAGACTAAATATTTTAAAGCACGGATGACTCTTTTAATCAGAATGGCGACCTGATTCAATTAAGCCTTGTCCAGCTCTTCCTCTGTTTTGCACCTCAGATTAAATTAATATTTATTTTTCGCTAGCTAGGTCTTCTAGATATTCATTCATTTCCCCAAAAGAAAGCCCTTTCGCAGTCATGTATATGAAATCAAAATCGAAGCGCGGAGGGCATCTTTTAGTCGGGCCTTTCCCTTTATCTCTTTAAGATTAGAACCTACCAACAGCTCCATTGTTGCGACCTTGTCCGTTGTTGGAACTGCGCAATCGATTGATGTCTTCCGTCTCCGAGTCACTCTAAAAGGATGGTGTTAGAGTTTAAATGTTTTCTAATGAAGTGTTAGGGGCTGAATTTGTTACTTACGACCTGATTGAGCACGTTCATGGAGTTGCTGGAGGCGCCCAGGCCGGATTTTCCCTGCAGACTGTTGCGTTTGCTGGCCGATCGAGCGATGTTGCCGTTTCGATGCTGGGCCGTGGGCTTTTGAGGCGTGCCATTGGACTTGCTGGCTGCATGGGAGAAGAGTGGAAAACGGATATGAAACGTTAATGTTAGCTGCGGCAACAGCAGGAGTTTTTTTTCGTGGCCCTTACGCTTGCCAAAGTTTCCCATATGCAGATCACTCAGCGAGCAGGCGCGACGAATCGACGACTCCTCAATGGGGATGGGATTGATCAACTTGGGATTACCTGTAAGTAGGCGTACACGGTTATTAATGTGGGGTCTCACATGCCGGGCAGGTGCTTCTCAAATGGTTTTTGTGTAATAAAGGACGCGGCAACTGATAAGCAAAACAAAATGTGTGCGCGATCATGAAGGAGTACAAAATGATTCAGTGGAGCAAAAGAATATTTGTGTGCAATTGTTCTGTGGTAGTACAACAACGAGGCTGAAACGCTCAAACCTTGTGGACGCTCGACGGGCAGCCCGTGCAGCAGCCGTCCCTGAGGATCGTCAGCATTCGAATTCGCGGTGTCCATTTGCTCACTGTCGGAGTCGAGATGAACACACCGTGGGGTGCTTGCCGTTGCATCATCATCGGCAATCACTTCCTTGGCCAGCTCCACGTCGTTTCCGTTGCCGTGGGCGCGATGATAGCCAAAGTCGGAGCTTTCCAGCACGTCCGGCAGGCTGCAGTTCCTGCGAATGTGACGCGCATAGGCACACAGATCTGCATCGGTGGCGGGCATATGCTCGCCGAGCTGCAGATGATGCTGATCCTGAGCACGCGCCAGCATGTCAAAGTTCATGGTCAGACTCTTTACGTAGCCCTTTTGCTTCGAGTTGCAGGCAAAGGGACGCAGTCGTGTCTCCGTGGCCTTTCGTATCTGCTCTATTTTGCGCTCCTCCATGGCGATTAGCTTCTCAATGATGTCTATCTTCTTGGCAATGTTCTGGCACTGGTGACTGGTGGAATTGCCACCGGAGCGCACCACATTGTCCATGTTCTTTTTGTGCTTGGCTCGCTCCTGTTGAATATCGTCGACAACCGCCTGCAGCTGGGGCTTCTTGTACAGCTTCAAGCTTTGCATATTCTCCATATTCTCCAAATTCTCCGGCGCATTGCCGTTCTCTGCGAAGTACATCTCGAAGCTGCGCTCGCCCCCATAGTCACTGGGCAGACTGCCCACGAGCGGCGCCTCCAGCGCCTCCGACTCAATCTCATTGCTGTTGACATCGTTGAGGCCGGCGCGCTCCCGCTTTGCGCTGGGCGTATACTTTATTTGCGACACGGTATTGAAACGGACGCTAATCTTGGGCCGTGATTTCTGGCGCACGCTCGTGGCGCGTCGGCTGCTGTCGCTGGTGTCGAATCGAGACACCTTCTTCAGGCAGCTGGGCGTGGCCAGTGCGCCGCTGCTCACCGAGTACCTCATCGCGGGCAGCGGACGCTGCTGTGTGCGCTGTTTCTCGCGCTCAAACTTG